AACACACACCTCTGATGGCTATCAAGAGGACGAGAAAAGGGGCGGGTGGAGAGTGCTCTGGGTGGGGGGGGGGTTGAAGGCATTGAGGACCAAACACACTTATAATGAAGGTGCAGAGAGAGAGGAGAAGGGGAGAAGGGGGGAATAGAGGAGCAGACTAACTAACCCCCCCTCCCCACCTCCACCACCTCCACCCTCACTCTGAGATGCTTTTTCTAGACCTGTGGACATATGGCTGCTTGTTGTCATGTTTTCTTCTCCAGCCAGAAGACAAGACGGTCCTCCTTGGAACAAAGGGGAATGTGTGTATGTGTGTGTGTTGTCCCATTTCAGGATTTTTTTTTTCCACCAAAAGTCTACCTGAATGATGAGAGAGAAAAAAAGGAACAATGGTGATTGCGGTTCTGGGCCCGTCTGTACACTTTCTGACATATGGTCACTTGTAGGCCTTTGCCATTACATAATCCATGGTGAAAAGAGGAGCAATATGGCTCTTTCTCACACACACACACACACACACACACACATCGGCCACACTGACAGCCTGTTACTACCCACAGCAGGGCTACAGCTGGCAGGAGCTTTGGGTTGGAATATATTGAGACATGATAGTGGAGGAGTGAATGTATGGGCGAGTCACATATGGCCAAACAAAAATAAAAGCATTAACAGTTAAAGGATAATAAACATGCTGAGTGGAGATCAACTTATCTACAGTAGATGGGATGTTAACCTTATATATTTAAAGTGTTACACTCTTATAAAAGACTGTTCTTCAAGGGTTCTTAAATAAAGTGAATGGCTCTATTTAGAACCATAAGTTCTATGCAGCACCATTTCATGCTTAAATAGTTCTTTGCATGGTGAAATTGTTCTTCAGATTGATGGAAAATGTGTTGTAAATGGTTCTCTGTAGGGCCTTTTTGAAAATGTTTCTATGTAGCACCAAAAAGGGTTCTATAAAGAACTTGTGGTTCTAAATAGACCAGTTTCTTTGACTAAAGAACACTTGAAGAACTAGAAGTAGAAATAAATAAAAGAAGTAGAAATAAATGAAAACTACATTTTATAGTAAACACCATCACTTTTTAAAACTTTATTTAACCAGGAACATAAAAAATGTATTCTTCAGTTCTAAGTGAATTGAACTGGTCAGCTGTGCAGACTGTGCGACTGTAGCTGACCAGCAAGAAATGATAAGCAGTACTGAGTGGGCTGTGATGGTACCGTTAAGCAAATTATGCTAGTGCTGCCTGATTCCATTCTGTACGGTTGACCAACAAGACTATTAGTACTGTACATTGGATTTTTTTAACCCCTTAACTGGCCAGGTCTGACACTTGTATAACCTAAGAATAGCTCAGCCAGTCTGCACTGAAGTCCCTGTATTTACTGAATAATAAGGCTTAGTATGTACAAGCCTTGGATTTTAAGGGGTTATATAACATAAGGAAAACCTAACATTGCAAGACACAACAAGTGCTCACAATTGTAAATACTCATCCCTCATATTGTTGCCTTCAAAGGAAAGTTAACAGCTGTGCTTACTCTTCATCTCAAAAATGACTTGGAAGCTAAGAGAAATGATATGGCCTTTCCATAAACAGCCCCTTTTTTCATGAAGGACCTCCTCTTGCAAATAGCGTCAGATTTTTAAATTTCTACATCTGCAAGGGAAAGTAAAAGCTCTTGGGTGTAGACGTAATGTAAACATCTCTTCTTTACAATGGACTGCGTGGTTATACTTGTTAATGTTTTCTCTCAGAAAGATTTTCTGTCCTTAATGAATAATACAGGCCATATGGTGTTTTCTGTTAATAAATATCTCAAGCAAAACAGAATATCTTTGCTGTCCAAACAAAACAAATCTCCAAAAGTGTAAGTTTACAGGAGAAGGCAAAACCATTCTTAATTTTTAATGTATATTAGGGTAGTGAGATGTTTGTTCTAAGTCATTTTGGGCCATTTCTGTTGGTCCATTCATCATGAGATGTTCACCCAGTTGGAGTTTTCAGATGATATGAAAGTGGGAAAAAATGGAGATACATACAAGACAAAGATGATATTATTCTCACAACATGATGACTCAGTTTGGAAACATACAATGAAATCAGAGTTGCTTCAGTAAAATCTTTGCTTGGGGGTCTGATGTGGCTGTGGGTTTTTGTTCTAAGTGAGCAGGAGCACACCTCAAAGAACAAATCAGTTATCTGAGGGCTGAAACCAACTGATTAAAGAAGTGGAATCAGGTGTGCTTCTGCCTTATTGGAATGAAAACCTGCAGCCCTTGGTGAACATACAGGAGACCCTGATCTAGAACTCACCAGAGGTTCTGTCTATGAAAATGATGACGCAGTGAAAAGTGTCTTCAGTCTTCTAAGAACACTTAATCTTTATCTGTAACTACCCTGTTAAAAGCATGTAAAGCCTTGAATTAGCAGGGGAGCGCTCTCAAATCCTCTGTGGTGGTCTTGTGCATTTGTGGGAGCTAGTGAGTGAATGAGTGAGTGAGCGAGCGTCTTGTCACAAAACAAAGAGCTACAAAAGAATTTGGCTACTGAATCAAAGAAAAGGGCCACTTCAGTGTTGGCACTCTGGAAGTATTTGTAAGTGAGCTTCCGCGTAATCGCAAAAGTATGAATGAAAAGGAAAAGGAGGAGACGGCTGTTAAACGAGAGATAATTACAGTATGAACAATGTCAGTGGAAGTGGCTGTTGTAGGCTTAATCTAACCTCATCCATAATGCTAATGGCTTTGACTTGCTTGACCGTTCGTAAGGTGAGGTGTGGGGCAGAATGGGGCTGGTGACAGTTTAATGGCTGTTTCCCTCAGGGCGACACCCACATGTTTACATTCATGTTGCATAATCTGCATAAAACATTTATGTACTGTAATACTAAAAACAGCAACAGCAACAACAAATACTCTAAGAATACTCTCAAAGCAGTTTATTACACTGTAATAACTAGATCATTATCATTGTCATTTTATTCCCATCTAAATTGGTCCTTCAATTCCAATTTAAAACAGAAATTATGTAAGGATAGATGATATAATGCTCTTTCCTGGACATAAATTTCCATCGTTCCTCTCTCCCTGTGTGTGTGTTTCCCACGGGAGGTGCCAGACGGCCAGTAATTTGGTTGTCTTGGCTCGTCTGGAGTAACACCTGCCCCCTCTCTGGGGAAACGGCCTTTCAGCCAAGAGGGAAGATGAGGAGCAAACACTTGCTGGGCAAAAATCACACTCCTGAGCTACACACGTTGAGTGACCACCACTTTCAGTCCGCATTGTTTCCATTTCTCTGTTTATACAGAGGACCTGGTCAGCATAACCACACCACAGGACTAATAGAAATAGCATGAGTCTACTTGAAATGGTCAAAGATCACCAAAAACACTGGCTATTGTAAATTTCATTGGTTATTTTCCAATAACTATGACCAATAAATCTACTGAAGCTTTAAGAATAAAGACCAGTTAAACAAACAATGGTTAATATCAATGCACACACGTCATCATTTGTAAAGAGGAGAAGACATAAGACGTTCGTCAGTTTCTCTTATCATTGTTTTTATTTCAAAAAAACAACTCACCAGTAAAATATGAAAAAATGCCTTTGTTAAAAACCAGCTGTCACAGCGACTCTACTACAAAATATGTGCATAAAGCAATAAGGGCACGACCCTGAAAAGACGAGAATTTCTTTGGATAGCAGATATTTTTTTTCCCTCCACTATAAAATAACTTATTGTAATTATCTGTTTCAGTGCGGTGATGAATACACAAATAAAACATTTCAAACATGTAAACACCAAAGAACGGAACAAAACAACAACAATAACAAAAGAAGATCAGACTTAAGATGTCATATTTGGTCCATCAGGAATGTTCTCTACTCCCTCCATCATCTCATAAGTCATATCATCTCACAGGCTCTAGCATGGGGGGCATTACTGTAGGCAACAAGTCTTCATTTTCCTTAATGTTTCCTAAACAAATGGTCATGATTACAGCTTCAGTGTGGTTTATTTAAGCATCAACCTAGGCTACAGCATTTCTCTGGTCATGGGCTGATGAAGAAAAATCTCACTTTTCATAATAGCCTATCTCTAAATTCATCACAAAATATATCCAGTAGAAATAAACATCGAAAAAAAAGTGCAGTTGGACTTTTTTTTTGTTTGCTTGTTTGTTTTTCATGAATGCTTGAATGTCACAGTCTAACACATATGGTAACGTTGCTTATGCAGTAGGCTACATACAAACACCCAACATACTGTACATTTATCTAAAAACAAACAACGCCTTCTGAACATAAATCAGTAGAAAAAGAAAAGGCAGAAGCAAACAGAAGCAACTCATTCATAAATAAATAAAAAAGCAAATAAATAAATAAATAAATAAATAAATAAATAAATAAATAAATAAATAAGGATGGTTAAGGTCACAATGTTATATATTTAAGTGGCACTTATACGTATTTATTTAATTTTTTTTTCCTGACTGGAAAACTACTTGCTAGGCCTAAGGAGCAGCTAATGGGGATGGGGGTTCATATTCATATTCTAGTTCATATCCAGTAAACCTTCCTTCAGTGCAGCTGATGATCTACAGGCTATCCTGCTCTCTCCACTTGTCCATACTGTTGTGGTCATCCAGAACTGCCACGACGAAGGCTATTCGAGTTATTTTAAAGTCCCTTTCGGCTTTATTGCATCTCTGTTTTGTTTCGTTTTCCCACACACAGCCTACATCAGGGACCACAGTCTTTTTTTAATGGTTTACGACTCTTGGAGTTCTCACCATGTTTAAAGGGGACTAAAACAAAGTTATAACCTTATTAGCCTAATGCCTAAAGTCTGACCAACACTTGGGTGATCGCTATCAAGTGGTATCAACCCTCCCACCCCGCTTTTGGACAACATCTCAGCTCTGAAATGCCGCCGAGTCAAGATTTCACCCCAAAAACTGCAAAACAACGACGCCATGTTTGCTTATTTTTTTTTTTAAAAAGACGCTCCTTCCGCCCGTCCCCGGAAGCCGCTAAACGTCCAGGACGTGGTTCAGGTAGGAGATGTAGCAGATGGCCAGTCTCAGGATCTCGATCTTGGACAGCTTCTTGTCGGGGGGCAGGGTGGGCAGCAGCTTCCTCAGCTCGCCGAAGGCCACGTTGAAGGCCTCCACGCGGATGCGCTCGCGCGTGGCGTGCGCCGACCGGTACTTGGCTGTGGCGCGCCGCCGCCGCCGCTTCTCCTCCCGCGTGAGCGCCTGCGGGGCCAGCGGCTTGGCCTTGCCCTCTCCCTCCGCCGCCTCGTCCGAGAGGCAGCTCGCCTTGATGTCCCCGAGCACCGTCTCGGCGTCCGACTGACTCCAGGGCAGCTCCGGCTCGCTCTGGTCCGGGCTCAGCATCATTTTTCACTCTGCCGCGAGCTTCCCGCCCAATCCTCGGATCTCAGCGCGGGACCTGGGGGACTCAGACCACCAGTGACGTCGCACCTTTATCCCTGCATAACACAGTGAGGAGTCAGAGGGAGTCAGTAGAGTCACTACACTATACACTGTTAGAAATAAAGGTTCTGTGCAGGTACATCTCGTTCATCAGGGTACAAACAATGTTCCCTCAAAGGTACAACAGTGGTTTTAAGGTTCAGTTGTGTACCTTAAAAAAGTTTTTCCAGGTAAAAAAAAACGTATTTGTACCTTTTCATAACCTAATTTTTGAAAAGAGGACAATAAAAAAAAGCCTGGAGGCGAGACGGGGTGTGTGGAGTCAGTACAACTTGGAAAATATGATTTTAATGGATTATGGTACGGTTATGTTCCCTGACTACTCAGTGTACTCAGATGCACCCTCGAGGGGACCACCCCCGTGACAAGAGGGGTACTGCCCCAGTTTTCATTAGCTTTTTTACTTACTTACTGCACACCACACTCATGAGGGCACCGCTGGGGGGTCCAGTGTTGAAGTGTGCGCTTCTGGAAGCAGCCCTGGACTGTTTTATTAATTTATTATTTTTAAAAATAAACATTTCCTCTTTTGTCTTCTTAACAGAACGTATTTAACCCATTTGTGTCCGAATTGTCCAAGTTGATAACATGTCGACATTAAATAAAGGAATTGTGCTGTTTTTAAGTAAAATTAATAGCGGAAGATTTTAATGAATCAAAACGCGTGTTTACGTTGATTCAAAGAGATTTTCATTCCAATGAAACCCGAATAAATGACGCTGAAATGTCTCCATTTTGCCTCATTCACGAAGTCTGTTACTGACTCTGCTCTGTTTGACTGAATGGGAATTAAGTTCATTCAACAGTGTTTTTTATGTACACTTACTCAGCATTGGCTTTATCTACACAGCCTCCTTCATGCATTTGTACTCTTTCATATGTGAGTATTAAAAACGGTGTATAAGCCGTTAGATTATTATTTTTAATAAAGGACAGAGGGGCACACATGGTGTACTTTAGTTTCCAGTCCATTTAAATGCGTGAACGGTGCGCTCAGATGGCCTAACAACAAGGTATATTTTACTCGTTGTTAACTTTGAATCTGCTGTTTGAGGTTCACCAAACTAAAAATGTAGGGCTGCTAGATAACGCAAAAACAAGATCTATTTATTTATTTATTTGATATTTATTTGTTTATTTGTTGTATTGGTTTATTTATATGTTTGTTGGTTTGTGTCTTGCAAAATGATCAACAGTAACACTATTAGAAAATCAGTTTTTTTTTGTTTGCTGTTTAACACTTATAAGAATCTACAGTACTTTTCTCATGTTCTTGTCTAATATTTGTGTTGCACCCTTTAATAAACCACAGCTGTTCGTCTGAGTTGAACATAAGATCCTTATAGTAACTCTGTAGAAATCAGACCCCAGTAGATCTTCGTAATCGTAACACCAACAGAGTTCAGTTCAGCTCGGTTCAATTCAGTTCAGCCCCTTAAAGTGGCCACGGGACTGTTAAATAAGACCCTCCGCTTTGCTGTGTCCTCCTAATTATCAGTGATGAAATGCTGGTAAGCAGTGACATGTGAAATCTTTAAGGTGCTCAGGCTGACACGAACTCCTCAGTGCTGATAGCTCTGTTGTCTGAATGTATATGAGTGAAAGACAGACAGAGGGTTGGAAGCAGCTCGAGTCCAGTTCTGCTCTCAGCCTTTGTTTGGACGGTTGTAGCCCGACAGATGCCGAGCAGAGCTCTGCTTTTCTGTTGTTTACTTGTTGTGCCCCGAGGCTGCACACACGAAACTTACTGCTTCGGGTCATTTCGGCCTCGTATTGTAACCGATCAGCTCAGCTGATGGTTAAAAGGACCGAACTACTGTAGGCAAGTCCTGCTGTTCACACTAAAGCTTTAAAACCTAAAGATGGAAATATTGAGCCTGTGTGTAGCCCACTGATGCCGTTTTCCTGTTTACTTTATTTCACTGGAGCGCGAGCAGGAAATGCATTAAAACTAAAATAAGCAGCTGAATAATATCATGGCTTCAGGAGTGTGAGCTGCCTTCCTTCCCTCCCCCTATTTCCATCCATATTGTTCCCCTCCGCACAAAATGAGTGCAAATATGATAATTTTTCGAGTCATGTTCCGTAATTAAAATCATCCATCTGTCCCACTATAGCGCTTGGCGCGTGCTGCCTGACAGGACAAAACGGAACTGGAATAATAAGAGGCTCCAAAGGTTAACATCTGTTGGTGCAACTTCGGGGTTGGGAAGCAGCAGCTTCTCCCACATCGCCGTTTCATTTCATACACAGTTTAACAGGCTGTGCATTTAACTATACAGCCTTAAAAAGGGCTTCTTTAGTGGTTCTTTAGTAAAGGCAGCGGTTGTATGTCTAGGAGAAAGACAATGCAGAGTTCACTGTTTGCATGGTTACATTGGTTCTTCACTATCATAAAAAAGACATATTTTTTTTTTAAAAAATGGTTCTATATGGCACCGACAACGATTATTGTATTGTCATGTGCTATTGGTATCGTATAAGTGATAGAACCTTTTGTTGTCGTAGAACCGTTTATTTTTCTGTAAAATTTATAATGCACACGTTTTCTGTACAATGTATAATATATAAAGTATAATATGTGATGGCTTATAATATATAACAGTTGCGTTGCAATTAAAAATAAAAGCACGTTGAAATGGTAAGACTGACATATGAGTCACAAATCACACGTATGGCCTTTAAATAAATAAATAAATAAATGTTATGGAAAACGTGATTTTTTTTTTTAAAAAGTGTATTTTTCATATTTATTTTCATTTTCATATGTAAACATATTTGGCGTTTTCCAATTTTTGCAAGCAGAATTTAACTTGTCAAAACAGGCATATTTTTATGTTTTTAATTTATTATCTGTAGCCTATATGACATACGATGCCTGTATGTATTTCATTTTCACGTGTAAACTTTGTTATTGTCCAATTTTGCAAGTAGCATTTAGCAAAATTGAAAAAAGAAATACATGCAGGAAAACTCTTATTTTATATGTTTAATTTACAGTCAGTATTTGCCATATAATGCTTTATACATGAGATATGATATTATATGTTGGGGAAAAAATATGGGAACATGTCTTTGCCTGGTTGTGTCTCCTAAACACGTTTAGTAAACTTTATTTGCAAAACAGCAAAATATTCTATGGGTTAAAATAAAATGCAAAGAGGGCAAAATCATGTATAAACGGGAATTAATTACGTATATAAGAGCTGACTGTATTTGAACAAACCGTGATGTGCTGACGGGTCCAGTAAAGTCTACTCCTGATGTCCTCTCTGCTGTCCAACTAAGCGCGCGCGGCTCCGCGGCTTCTTTCCTCAATCATCCTCCTCTTCCTCCCCTCAGATCACTTCACTCACTCCGACTCCGCGGACTGAGCGATCTGCGCCTTCACTTCAGTGCTTTCTGAGGAGGAAGTGTCCACGCGCGGCCTCGCGCTGATGGAGATCTGGCGAGCTGTTATCTGGTGACCCTCTGGCTTCAGACAATAGAGGCGGCAGATCAGATCAGATCAGATAGGAAAGTGCAGGGAAGCGCTGTCAGTCCTGCTGAAGATGGACTGGCCTAGAAGAGCAGCGCGCCGAGAAGACGGACAGTCCTGGAGTCCAAAAGCATTTCAGCTCAGTTTGTTTTCCTTTGTTAATCTCTCTCGTCCTCGCTGTGTAAGCGCTGCTCTGCGTGTCCGGCTGAGGACAGATCGGATGTGTCCGCTGTCCGGAATGACGGGGAGGTGGCATATATTTGTGGGGTGGTATTGTCTAACACCGCCCCTTCTAACATCACACCTCCTTCCCTCTCTCTTTCTCTCTCTCTCTCTCTCTCTCTCTCTCTCTCTCTCTCACCCCCACTACCCTCCTCCTTAGTCCGTGGACAAGGATGCTGAGCAGAGATGGACAAAAAACCCAGAAGGGGCTACTTTTACTTGCCATTGTGCATGCACCTTTCGCATTGGTCTGTAAACATGTCAGTAAGAAGGGGGGGGGGCATCATTGCCTTTGTGTGTGGGGAGCTGTAATTTGGTATCAGACCAAGAATTAATGAGGTGTAACTTCTGTTACTGTATTTGTGATATATTTAGGGATAAAAGTTGCACAGAGGCTTTTATTTTGCATTATGATTAATGATTAAAAACCTTTCTAATGCTGACTCTCACCTTTTCCAGAAATTCTGCTTAATTAAATGGTTGTGTATTTACATACACTGTTAGAAATAAAGATACTGTGCAGGTACATTTTTTGTTCATCAAGGTACAAACAGCGTAAATGTTCCCTCAAAGGTACAGCAGTGGTTTTAAGGTCTAACTGTGAACCTTCAGTTTTTCTCAGTGGAAAAGTTCATATTTGTACCTTTTCATAACCTAATGTTTTAAAACAGAGCAATAAAATAAAAAGCCTGGAACCAAGACGGGGTGTGTGGAGTCAATACAACTTAGAAAATATAATTTCAGTGGATTATGGTACAGTTATGTTCCCTGACTAAAGGTACTGAGATGTACCCTTATGGTTACCACCCCAGTGACAAGAGGGATACTGCCCCATTAGATTTACCACTCCTTTATTGTTATCAACATTACATATAATACATATACATATGTTTTATGTACATATATCTACAACATTACATATGATTATAACTCAGAAGACGTGAAGGTTCACTGGTCTTTTTGGATTGTAAATAAAATGGCAATGTTAGACATTGTAACCCCTGGTTCCTGTCACCACCACTGTATTGAAACTGGTCAGTAGTGAGTCAGTAAGTCTCTCTACAGTGAACCATTTCACACCAAACTTCTCTGAATCACTTTACATCTCAGCATCTGAATAATGTCGGATTGGTGGAATTCCCCTTTAATTAAAAAAACAAAAGGGTTGTTGCAAAAGATCAAACTTTTGCAACATATTAAAACATCCATATAATTGTTATTGATAACTAAACCATCAATATGTAAACATCCGCAATGAATAAACTGTATTACAAGTCTGACATTATCAACACTGGTCACTTGCTGTATGTGCATGCATTTATTAACAGAATTGCTTGTCACAGAAACAAAACAAGGTAAAAGTTTGTTCATGTTTCACACAACATTATCGAAACCATTAGAGCCTCTCAAGGCCTCCCGTCTATCAGATCACGGAGGAGCCCGGGGACAGGCCGGAGAGGCCGTCAAACTGTTGGAATTAAAGCGAGATGTCAATCACGAGGAAAGACGGGGACAGAAGGGTGGGGGGTGGCTTTCTGCTCCAGCTGATGCCAGATCTGTCCCTGCTGCATCTGTGACCGCAGGGAATTTAGTGGGCAGGTTCAGGCTCTGCACCGCTCCTTACACCGTCCCTGAGAGCAGCCTGAATGTATGAAAAGGTGTCTGAAACTTCTCAGCTTTAGAAATGATTTTGCATTTGTTTTTCTTACTCATAACAAGGCCTGTTATTATTATTACTGTTAGAAGTAGTATTATAATTGTCAAGTCGATTTAGACTCTTAGAGATCCTATGGATGGTGTTTCTCTGAATGATCCTGTCTTCTGTTTGGGTCTTTAGACTTCTTAATGGCTTGTTCAGGAAACAAAGCCAATTATCTGTTATTGTGAAATATAATTTTAGTACTTTCAACACACTGGTGTAAATTCGGGCGGGGCAGGTATGTCTTTTCCACTTTTAGAAATGATGCAAGAATATTTTGAGGGCTGTGGGATGGGGATTAAACCCAAAATAGATTGTTGTTTTTATTTACTTACTGCACTAATCACCAGCAGCAAACAGGTGAAACTGTACACTCTCGATTTATTTGTCAGTTATTTCTGAAGCTGTTCAGGACCCTCCGCTCTCTTCTCTTTCCCCAGATCTTTCCACATCAGTGCTTCAGTGTGATTCTTGTGCATTCTTGGCACACAACTGGCATCCTGGCAGCAGTCGGATCAGTAACGTGACCCTGGTGTCACCCTGTTCCGCGTCCCACCCAGGGAGACCAGTAAGTTCAGGTCAAGGCTGCGGCGGTGGTCAGGGAGTGTGTCGCGGCGGCCGACCGTGCCTAACGAGCTGATTAAAACGATGAGGGAGGCTCCACTGAGTTGCCGTGGCCCCGAGCCACTGCATGGTGAGTAGGGGGGGAAGAGAGAGGGGCCGGCTGCTGCCTGCCGCCATCACCGCGAAAGGGGAAGCAGCGGGGGAAGAGTGGAGAAGTGTAAGCCAGAGGGCTGATGGAGCAAAGGAGGGGTGGAGACAGAGGGATGAAAAGGAAGGAGGGAAGGAGTGATTGATCGACAAGTTGCCTTCAGCTTTCTGTTGTCCAGGGAGATGTGACACGGAGAGACTGGAAAATTTGGGTAGGGGGGCCAAAAGTGTACGTGTCAGAGGTATCGGAGACATGTCAGGGGAGAAGAGGAACGCCACACTGACAGGGAGCACACATGGGGTCACTCTAATTGTGTAGTGTCAGTAGGGGCAAGCAAGAGCCTCCTGTCCTGAGACTCCAACCGCAGAAGGCTTGTGTCTGACCACAGCAATTACAGTCCACAAACTGGTCTGCAACAAGCACATCACTCACATTCTGCACAGAGGTCACAAACGGAGCACTGACCCATGCTTTCAATTAGACACTCGTTGATTCTGCCCCTTTTCCTCCTACAAGTCTTTACCTCATGTCCCAAAGACTATCTGATGGCCACTCAACAGGTAATACCTCCCTGTAGGTTGACAACACTGCCACACATTGATGCCGTGACCTTCCGTCCTTCAAGTCTTTACCTCATGTAGACAGCCATGGTAGCCCTAATGCAAATTGGTTGGTGTAGCATAACAAGTACTATTTTCCTTGCAGCAAGCTGTGGTTCAAGTCCCTTCCTGGGTAAGCATACTACATTACCATTAAGAGTCCACGGGCAAGACAGTCCCAAACAGATCCAGATCATCAAGTTATAGGCCCCTGGGTACAAATGTTTGGCAGCCCCCTACTTAGTTGCCTATTATGGTGGTCAAAAAAAAATAAAAAAAGAAGAATGTTTTTGAATAGTCTGACCTAGCTGCGTAGTCTGAGGCTTGTGTTAAACAAAACTAAAGCCAGGTTGTCTAAGTAGTTCTAGATACAAACCGTAACCTGCCCTGGTTGCTTAAAGACATTAGTGAGTTGGCATCAGCATTAGCATGTTCCAAACACACTATGGTATGATATGAGGTTATAGCCTACTGCTGATAGCAGTACAGTCATCATTGTAAAACAATGTCAATTTTATGCACACATTATCAAGAACGCAGATTAACATAAACTAAATAACCAATGCAACACTCAAAGAATGTATTGTCTCTTGACAAGTACAACATTTTTCCCAATGAAGATTATATAAATTGAAATCGGACAGTTGTAATGTACGCAAAAAACATCACCAGCAAAAAATGAATAAATAAATAAATAAACTAAGCTAATCTAAGCTAAGCATACTGCCATGGTGGGCTTGGATAAGTTTTATGGACCATTTACATCTTACCTTTGCTGAATTCATGCACAGAAACAGAAAGTTTGCAAATCATTGACAGCAACGACACAGTAACTTTTTTTAACTTCGTGCTGACATTTTTTAAAACTTGTGTTTGGCTTTTAAAATTGACATTTTCTTAAGACTCTCGAGGTACAAGGTCATGCTTATACAGATACCCCAGGCACATCTTATTTATTTAAAAAGCAATCCAGGCTGAAACTCTCCTTACAACTTCAACTACATTGGGTGAAGCTATACTGCTGTAGACTGAGTAGGCTGATATAGTGAAATCACAAAAAACTGGGGAGTGAACATTACATTTAGAGACTTTAACAATGTTTACACATTACATCAAACTCTTTTATTTAAATAAAGCAATGAACATACGTTTTTCCATGATATGGGCCCTTTTATACCAGTCTACATTAGAGCACCAACTTGCTCAAGACATAGCAGTTTTCATATAGGGGCCCCATAAGTTTTATTCATACAGGGGCCCCAAAAAAACCTAGTTACGCCACTGATCTCATACACTATCCAGTGGCTGTTCAACAAGCAAAACCTTCCTGTAGGATAATCAACTCACTGCCTGACGTCAGAAGGTCAGCACAGGCCTTTAATGAACCCAGTATGCTCAAGCTCTTGACCAGTTTGCAAGGACCCGAAAAGCCTTGAACTCTGAGAAGCAGCCTACCCTCTTGATTCCTCTTATGTTCTACCCGCCTTCTGCCACTGGAGCTCCCTCGCCCTGCCATTGGTTCCTGCAAGCTCTGAGACGAATCGATGAAATGGAGGGACTAGGCACTCAGTCAGTAAGACGACTAATGGTCAAGGAGTCTGTCTGGATTCACCAGAGAGAGAGAGGTGGATGTTTTCTGATGCACCCGATAAGCTTAGTCACGGTGCCGTGTCATTGAAGGAGGAAGCAGTTGTGAGGGAACTACAGAGCAGGTGCTTGTTTACACATCTATTGGGAGCGAATAATTGAAAACTGAGTGATAATGTAGTGACAGCCATTTGGGATCTCTGTTCTCATTCTCTCTCTGTTCAGATCTTCACAGTCTATAGTTGGACTCAAGAGCTGACAATGAGTTTGCAACCTGTCAGGGCGCAGTCTTCACAATCCGAGGACATCGACATCGCACGTCCAAAAATGAGACAACAACAACAATTTCAGTTCTACGTAAAGCCACTAAATACTGTGTTGTGCTTGGGTTACAACCTGGCATCTCCGCAGTCTCTGTTCATTGCTCCTGGCAAAGCG